GGGGCGTCGCTTGTTAGCCGCTTCTCAGCGCCGTTTTTTGAGTAGCGTCGGTACCTTGAGACGCACCAATTTCCCGCCGTTTTACTGAGCTGCGTTTTCATCCAGATCTTGACCACCTGCCTTTCCGCAGCCCTTTCCATGGTGTTGCCCGCCCCGTTAATCAGTCTCCGACTGCCGCCGTTCCCGCCCGCGCTGGCGTGCCGCTGGGAGCGCTCCCCTCCTTTTCCAGGGTCACAGCGCAGAGGGGCACAGTCACGATTCAGGTGAAGTGCAGCCGTGGTGGGAGCAGCTGCGCTTTAAGAGGCTCTCACGAGAGCTGGTGGCGGTGACCGGTTCACTTTAGATGTCATTTTGTTGCGTTCGGTTAAACGCAGAGATGAGCTGCAGTCGTTTGCTCTGACTAGTTTCCGAAGAACGGAAATAAAGTGAACCGGAAAGCCAGTATGAGTGGAAAGGTGTAACAGTTAAAAGTCCTCCAAATGTTGAAACTCTCTGGAAATACGGAGGACAGCTGGAAAAGCCTTAAACACTGCTTTGCTACGTATCTGTGATGAAGAGTGTCTGGAAAGGAAGAAGAAAGCTGTTTTATTTCTGACGAGCTATTTGGGAAGCACTTCGTATATTTTGTAATTTTCAGTACCTCCGGGGAGGCCAACTATGAAACTGTACTGCTGAATTTACTGCCCTCCAAGTAGAAACATGCCAGTCGTGTGCTTTTAGGCAGAGTACGGAAATGAAGATAAAGCGGCTGAAAGAGATGTTGTTTTGGAAGCCTGAGTCCCAGCAAGAAGATTAGTTTCAAAACTAGGGTGAAATCTTTGACAAAGAACTTTCCTGAGAAAAATAACTTGTACCGTGCCAAAGCTTATGGAGCGTAGATAGCTCTTGCATAGCACTGAATGCTCTATGAAATGACATGGGGCAGAAAGGCATGTTGAATGTAATGAAGGAGCTGACCAGAAAATAGCATGTGGAGCGACATGCTTTTTGGCATAATGGACAAACTGAGATAATGACTTGAATTTGGAAAAACACTGAAGAACTGGAAATTGCTACATCACTTTGTAACATTTCTGAATCTAAAAGCCTTCAAAATATTAACTATAAGACTACATTTTTTTCAAGGAAGGGTTGAGATATCTGGAAACAAAAATTATTTGTGCAGGAAGTAAATTAACTGGAAGTAACTTTGAGAGCCAGATAGAAACAAGGAAGGCGGTGATCCAGTCAGCAAGCAAAAGTATTGGGCAACATCAACAAAAACCTTTAGGTTTAATGAATGCTTTTCATTGGGTAGTATCAGAGTCAGAACTGATGGTGAGTGATAGTAAGGGCATAAAATTAAATATAAATAGAGACTGGAACAAAAACAATTACTGAGTGAAGTCTTTAAAAGGAAAGCTGTAAAGGACAATCACCTTGATCGTAACTGTATGAATAGGAAAGCCTATGAAAGGATGCAGACCCTGAAGTGATGGCCCATGGGGTAGAATCAGGAAGACACAGAACTTTTTTGTGTATTCTAAACTCTGAAAATCATTTATTGATCTCTATCCAAAATGTGTGCCATAAAATCTAATACAGAAATTACTGGTTGAGGAGTCACAGTTTATGGCTAAAATGAAGCGTATATTTTAGAGGGATCTCAGGTCTTCAAGCTATTGGAGAAAATACAACATGTCTTATTAGGTTCCTGCAAAGATAAATTATACTTATTAAAAAAGAGAACTGCCTCAGAATGTCTTCTGTTTAACATTTGGAAAGTTTTGAGACACTACAAAAATCTCCGGGAACATTTTTACCCCCATCGTGACAAAATTGGAGCCACCACAATGGCATGAACGTATGCCTGTTGGTTTGATGGCAATGTATGCATCTATCCATTTGCTGCACGGCTGGGTTTGGAGAGATTTTTACTATGAACTTGTAACAAATAAAAAGGAAACCTTTGCTGATTTGTGCTGGAGTCCTTTGACTGCAAGGTACGTGCCTATCCAGACGTGTGAGGAAAGCATGCTGTAGGAGAATGCAAGTTTCTCAGTGAAGATAACTTGCAGACATCTACTTATATTTGAAAATGAATATGCTGTTAGCCTACTTTAAAATGAGAAGAATATAGCTACAATAAAGATCTTATTTAAATGGATTAGTACAACTTAATGTTAGACATAGTCACTTATCTTAAAACCTAACCTAAAGAGAAGCTGCTCTTTCTTTAAAATATTAGCTGTATGTGTGGTTGTTATTCAGAATTATCAGCTATTTAAATGTTAGATAAATATATTTAGTTTCAGATGAGTGCTACGGTACTCTCATAACATGCTGTTGCTCACGTTTTTTGGGTGTGGCTATGAGAATAGATTTACTTTATATGCCCAAATGAGTAAGACATTGGGGTCATGCATCATACTCAATATAAGTGTAAAATGGCTTTTTGATTTCACATGGTAAAACTGTAGCTGCCTAAGAATTTGAGAAGTCGTACATTTATACATTTACAATCCCAAAACTATTAGGAAAAGACAAATCTAATGGAAAAAAAAAGTTCAGACACGCTTTCTAGACTCTCTTCTAATAGGGATCCCAAATGAAATTAAAAGGAAACATAGGGTACATTTGACAGAATAAAATATGAAGTTGTCAGTTCATATTCACATAGCCCTGCAAATTAAAAAGTAAGGTTATTGCAAATTGGCCTAATGCTATTATTCTGCGCAATATTTTGTATTGGTATAGGGATTTTGACAAATAGATATGCTGAGCTCTAGTTTTTCCTAGAAGTAAGTGAGCAGCGACTTTCAATTCTGTTGTATAGAATCATATGCAAGAGGATGGTTGCATGTTGTATAAATCAACTTCAAAGAATATTCTCAGATAATCATCGGATAGTTTTTCATTATAATCACCACACAAAGGGTGAGAGGTTGTTTTTGTTTTGTGAAATAATTTCTTTCACTGATACTGAGTTTTTCTTAATTGATTGTGGGAGTTCATTGTGACATTTTTTGTCATGTAAGTAATTTCCATGAGAGAACTTTCCATGAGGAATTGGAAGGAGGGTTGAGGTTTTGGGATGAGCATGAGAGGATCTGTGGATTTTGATCCTTCTGTTAGAATGAGGAAGGCACCTTCCAAGATGTTGCGTATTTCCCCAGTTGAGAATCCTCACTGGGTAAAAAATCACTGATGAGGTACCTAATATATATTCCTTCCTGAGGGGATCAACAAGTACCTGAGATACTGCTTTTACCTTATTTTGGCTGATGGCTGGTGTTGTAGAAATGAGGTACCTAAGTCAATGGCATTCTTGCATTTGATAGACATTAAGGATATGGCCATTATGATATCCCAGAAGTTGATGTTGATGCAGTTTGAAAAAAGGTAGTTCCAGAGTTTGTGGTAGAAACTGATGAGAGCGCCCTAGCTTTCACTCCAGGTGTATCTTCGGTGCAGGATCGGTACAGTCACCTAAACAAAATATTTAACTTAAGGTAGCTTGTGCAGGGTGGCATCTTCGTGTGCATATCTGTGCCCGTTTTTGGACTGTTTCTTGCCGAGAATGAAGTTGTCCTGGATGAAGAGTAAGAGGATGGACTTGAATTACGTATTTTGGTCTAGACTTTACAGATACTTCCAATGGACTGTAATGGTCCTGGTTTGAGAGGAGGGTTAGGGTTAACATTGGCATAATGAGTTTATTTCCAATAAATAAAACTAAATGAAATTAAAGCTTGTAATAGTGAAACAAATATGGCTCAAGTATCGAAACAGGTCATATTTATAGACAACATACATTTACCTGATTTGTTGCTAATGCTTGCTTTCATTTTCACCTTTTGTACCAAAAAAAATGAAGTTAATGTCTATGAAACCTCTAGGGTATTTCAGGTTGTTTTACATTTTTTCTATTTATTTCTATTAATGCTCCTATAAAGCGTACAGTAAGAAGAGTTCTATGCTGTTTACTATTACTGAAAAATGCATATATTAGTAATCTTTTAGTCTACAAAGGCTTCTTCCAAAAAAAAATTTTCCTAAATTTTGTTACTATCCTGTTATGTGGAAGGAGGATGACAGTATTTCTTCTTACACTTCCAAGTATCTGATGTCACTGTAATGAGAGAAGGCATGTTTTTTTCCACTGATGCTACAGAATAGTACGTGTAGAATATAAATATTAGTGAAAATTACTTAACGTCTAGGGAGACGTTCTGAAAAAATACTGCTTAGAAACCAAAATATTTTTTAGCGTAAGCACGGATGTATGGATGTACTTAACATACATGCATGAAAGTGAAATTTACAAAAATCAGAGTTTATTCAGATATGTTTCTCATTCATCTAATATATGTTAAATGTTTTGTAATATGACGTTCCCATGTATTTCCAAACTCCTTTATTTCGTATAATTGCATGCCATGAAAAAGAGAAACAGATCTGGGGGGAAAGGTTTTTGTTTGATTTTTGTTTTGTTTTGTCATACGAGATTGGCCAGTATATTTAAAAATGTGTGCCAGTAGCTAAAAAGATTGTATATTTCACTGTTACGTTCTCCAGCTTTGTAAAGTGCTAGAAAATACCCTTGCTGGACACTGAGGAAATAAAATATGGAGCTAAAAAACAGCATAAACGTATTTTAGAATGGGCTGTAATTTTCACAAGTGTGTTATACTAAATACTGTACTACTTGAAAGAGATCATAATATATATGAAATGGGAACACTCGTCATCAGGAAGATTAGATTTCTTCTTCGCCTAGCAACACTGCTGAACAGCTGGCTAGTCAAAATATCCCTCTACACCTTGAGACTTAATGTCTCATCTCTGTCGCTCTCTCAATAATTGTTGGCATGTAGCCTTGCTCGTTGAGTCTCTTCTTAAACTTTGTTCTCTTGCTTGACAGATTATAGTGATTTGTCCCCACTGGACAAACCTACAGATTTCTATGCATTCTTTGGGGGGCTCAGGCTACATTCATTTTGTGGATATGTATACATTTCAGGGAACATTGCTCAGAAAGTCTAAAATAAGTTAAGGGGATGAAGCTCCCTTTAAAAATAATGCATAAACTGTAATTTTTCTTCAATAGGTATGTTTTTTCTATCAACATAACCATGCATATAGCCACTGAAATAAGTCTAGGGTTTATTTTTCTGGAAAGCCGTATGAATAAAACATTCTGTCTTTTTTGGTATAAACATTTTACACTGGAAGTGACAGATTTGGTTCTTCTGGAGAATATTGTGCAAAATAAAGGGAAAGTTTGAATGATTTATTTCTAATGCAAAGATTGATCCTTTAAAAAAATTGAAGACCAGTTCTTCTATAAACTTGCTATACTAGTAAATATGTATGCGGATGTATTGGATATTGACACCTTTGTTACTATTTAGTTGTCTTTTCTGTATGTTGTATGCCGTTGTGTCTTTCATAAGATGATATGACCAAAATGATCCTTTTGTGTAGAGTGTATAAATTGTGATGCTTCTTAGCCAAACTGACATGCTAAACTAAAATCTAATACTACTAGTATTTTAAAGTTATGCTGAAATGGTAAGATCAAAGACACTTTCACATATTTTTTATACCCTTCAATGCTCCCGCTGAATTTAGATTGCTACTTTATTGCAACTTGGCTGTCACTGCTCCACTGTGTAGATGTTCACTTCCTTTTGTAGGTGGTAGACACTTTGAGAAAAAAAAAATCCTTACGTTGCACAAAAGTGTTTGATTACCATATCCCATGATATTATTTTCTTCTATTATTTACTCGGTTTGAAGGTATTGCCAGAAAGGAAGTTTCTTTTTCTTCAGGAATTTCAAAGTGCATGCATCTAATTCATTGTCTTCGTGTAACTTATGGAGACATTCCAAAACACAAAATTAGCCCGTCTCCTCAAAGACTCAGCAGTCTTTAACTGGTTCAGTGTTTTTCTTTTATTTCTGTTCGCTAGTATGTTACATTCTCATCTTGCATGAAGGTTCATTAACTAATAATTACTCAGTGTTCAAAAGGACAAAAAAAGTCATTTGTAGAAAAAGGTGTCTCTGTTTTTTGACTGTGTAGTAGAGAAAAGTAGAATAAGTGCCTTGCAGATACGGAAATAATAGTAATTCTGCTTAAAGCTTAGACAATATTCTTACTTAATCGTAAATTTTATTTGCTGTACTCATGCCTTGCTAGTGTAATACTGCGAAAATAAACCTGTTGACATTGTTGGGACTGTTTTCCATAGTCCAATATTTGTAATCGGGCAAGAAAATTGAGAGCATTAGAGGTGAGGTCAGTAGAAACAGCTGTATCTCATACTGGTGGGTAGGCTGAATTTGGAAAGCTGCCATGCTAAATTACAAAATTGGCCCATGAGACAAGAGACAAACCAAGAGACATTTTATAAATCTGTGCCACAGTTTGTTTCCTGGTCTAAAGGGCTAGTGTTTATTTATTTTTTAAAAATTATAAGTATTTAGAGATCTAAAAACTAATTTCAAAACTATGTAGAATTCAACAAATATTTTTAGCTAAAATATGATGAATTAGAAAGTATATAGTAAAAATGAATTATTTGAAATCAGTATATTCCCAGAATTAGTAAATGGTTCACACCATTATATATTTCACTGTAAAATAGATTTACATTTTAAAAAAGGAAATATTTTCTAAAGAACTAAATCAAAATTTTCAATCAAATAGAAAAATTTCATTCTGAGTGAAACAAAATATGCGTTAGGATCTAACTTTGGATGACAGCTGATTGCTGATGAAAATTAATTTAATTCTCCCAATAGATTCACCAGTTACAAAGCAACTAGGAAAACAGTGAATGTAATGATTGTAAGTCAAAACACTTTACATGTTGAACAGCTGTATTTCTTTAAAAAATCAGTGTAGTAGTATATACTGTCAGATGGGGTGATTGTGAAATGCATAACGAGCAAGTTTGTAAACAGAAGAGAAGTGATAACGTTAATCAAATTCTCTTGTTGGTTATACTAAAATGGCTCTGCTAAAATAATAGATTTTTCCACATTTACACTAATTCGGCTAAGAGCAAAATTCAAGCTAAATTCTGAGGGGGGAATACAGCTGAAAAAAACCAATGAACTTACTTATGCAAAACAAATTGTTGTTTCTATCTCATACTGCTTGCTCATTGCTTAATTGTTTACTGTCCTATTAGAGGGATATTATGCTCTGTTAACAGAAATCTTTTCTTTCCCCTTTCCGTACAGATGACTGCAGATTTTCCAGCGTGTTCTGTGAGAACTCTAAGAAGCTTATCAACGTGCATGCCTTTGCTCTGGCTGCTAAATATTACTCTTTGTCAAACCTTGGACTGTGTACATCATTAGAAGAGATACTTGAAGCACTGAGAGGGGAACATCAAGAGAGAAATGGTATATTTACCTTTGTATTTAAATTTGTATGTATCCACAATAGTGAGTGCAGTTCTGTTCGGTTTTTGTTAAATGAGTTTCTCACACTTCTCCCTTCAGTTTCCTTTTATTAATGGATACTGTCTTCATTGCCATTGGGAGAAAATGGATTCTCTTGCTAAAATTTGAGCCGAGAGGGGTCAGAGCCTTCAATGCCTATAGACGTTTCCTAAGATTCCTTTTTAAAGGAGTAAGATGGGCAAGAAGGCACATCGTTCTTTGATTTACAAATCAGATACCTAGTTTTATTCTCTTTGTTTTTTCTCTCCCTCAGCAGCAAGAATCATGATTGCTATTGTTGCTTTTTTTAAAAGCCTCAGTCTAACATCCTGCAGCCATACCACCAGAAGTGTTTTTTGTTCCATCTTTTGTTTAATGTTAAACGTGTGCTTAGGCATTTAACTGAATATGGCCCTTTGATATCTCAAAAGTAGCTGCTTTTATTCATTCTGTATTTTTTGGGACCAATGTCAAGTATATGTCTTAGCTTAGTTTATGAAATTACCCTAGTTCTATAGTTAAAGAAATTAAATGAAAACACTCAAGTTGGCATCTTTACAGTGGAAGTCTTACCCTGGATTATGTTTTTGTATCGGGTGGTAAACTGGCATTTCTACTTACTTTAACTGCTGTCATTTTCATTGAAGGTGTGCTCTTCAATAAGCCCTCAGCCATTATGGATTTGTTACTGTCTTTCAGACCTCTCATTAATTTTTCAGAGGCAGATGCTGAGCAGCTCTCTGCCTTTGCTTTCTAATGTGCTCTCTCTCTCTAATATATTAACACTCTGCTGACCTTTCCTATCATAGTGGTAGAACTGTTGTACATTTTGGCCATTTCTCCCATTTTCTGCAGTGATCTTCTTTTTCCAGTTTTTCCATTTTCCATATTTGGTTTCCCAGTTTTCCATTTCTTCATAATTACCAAAATGCCATAGGTGAAACAGTCTTAATGGTCTGTTTTTTACTGATCTTACTGTCAGTTTGCTTTCTGGCTTCAATCCTTCTCCTATTCTTTCATCTGAAGCCTTTTTTTCTGATATTTGACAACTGTATGCAGGTTTTCTTTTACTCGCTTCTTAGCTATTTTCATTTTTTTAATGCTCTCGTGCTCTGCAGTCTGCTTAATTTTCTGTAATTCTGTAGCTCTACCTTGTTATACGCATACTTGAGTTCATAGTTATATTAGCTTTTGTAGAGGAAAATGCAAAGATTCTTCTGTCTTTTGTCCGCAGAATGGAACATCTGGAGTAAGAGGCCAAGGGCATCTTTTAAGGGTTCTGGGATAGTGATGTAGTAACTTTAAATTTTACTCAATAGTAAAAACAAAGTGTTCCAAATGTTCTGTGTATACAGCGGTATAATTTGAAACCTTTGTGTTGAATTCACAGTGGGTAACAGTTAAACTAACCCAATTGAAGTTCCTGGTAATCACTTGGCAGAAGCAAAATACCAAATTTTGGGTTTGTAATATGGAAGTTGCCAAATAAAAGTTGTGATCTTTTAACTTCCAGATATTTTAGATATTTTGGACTTAATTGTATTTTCAGAAAAGATATATTCATTTGCTCACTTGCTACTGCTTGCAAGGGAAGAGAAGAGTAAGTCTGAGAAAATGAGCAACTTTAAGATGGCTGTGCTCATATTATGAAAAATATGCATTGGGATAATTCCATTTACATTTGAGATGTTTGTAATATATTTCCTTGTTCTAAGACAAACATGCTTGTAAGAATATTCATGTGCAGTTTTCAAACTTATTTAGCATATTAATATAGATATATGATTCTTCAAACAGTTGTTTGAAAAGATGCGAACAAACCTTTTTAAGCATAGTGCGGGCATGTATATTCAGAATGGAGTTCTAAATCTAAAGGAGTTTCTCCGTTGCTTCCTCACAAAGTTCATTGCAGTCCATATTGAACTGTCGGGTTGCTTGCACTGAGGACATAGGAGCCAGAAGAAGCTGGCTGAAGAGGAAGAACCCAGCAAGGAGAATTTCTCTTGATATGAGGTTCATATCTGAGTATAAGATGTGAGGGTGGCTAGAATATTGGAGTAAGAGCATGCTGTACCCTTGCAATGTGTTTATGGTCAAGATCATGGTTATGCTGTGAGTGTTAGCTTATCTATGGAGACCTCAACTATTTTAATGTTACTGAGAATCTTCAGAAGTCGTCAGTCCAGTGTTAAGAGTGAAATGGCAAACACTTGTTTCTTCTATTGGTTTTTGTTTAAAAATATCTTAGTCTGTTTTCGTTTGTCAGTTAATAGAATCTTTATTAGATTTTAAGCATTGTCATAGCAGGTTATTATAGAAAAAACAGATGTTTGAGAAGTAGAGTGTTCCTGTGGGTTTTGTGAAAAATAGGGGAAACACTGGGTTTTGCATGAGCTCAGTTCAATTCCCCACTGTCTTCTAAATAAGGAACACTCTTGGCTCTGTTCCCAGCATCATCTGATTAAGGAGTGAACATAGTTATTGCCTAATGATAAGTTTCGGGACAGATGAACGCGTTCTGTGCAAAAAGCAGAGAATGGGAAAGTGTATTAAATCTGCCTACTCATGTAGAAAAGTCATGTTTTCTAAAAGCACGCTCGTCAGTAGCTGTCCAGTTTCTGTTACCTTCACTCAGATTTACTTCACAAAAATTCCTATCAATTTAACTGTAACCAATTACACTGTAGTGTTGATGGCCTAATAGAAATGCATGGGTTCTCACAAGGGAGTGACTTCTGAGTTACTCCTTCAATTGGGAGATGTGGAGATTAGCATGGCGGCTGCCTGGTGTTCTCCACAAACAGTGAACAGGCAGTAGAGATTGACTCCATCTCATCAGTGTGTTCTTCAGCAACGCTGAAGTGATGATCTTCTACTGTAGGACGTAGCAATTCTATAATCCATAGAGTAGATAAAGGCAAAGAAATGTGCGTCTTCATTTAAATTTTTCCCATTTTCTTCTCTTTCTCTCTTTTTCTTTTTCTTGTAACCATTATTTCAGATATCTCCCACTTGATATTGTAAGCAAATCTTCAGAATCAACAAGCTGTACTGTGTAATAATTATTGTCCTTGCCCTTGTATTTCATGTGTGTAACTGTGATAAATGCCGTACAAATAACCATTTTTTTAATGAAAAAGAGGAAGCCATGCATTTTATAGTAGTAGCTCTTGTCTAATGTCTTACCAGATACTAGATATTTTATATTAAAATTGTTTAGTACTGTTAGTGTTGTTAGTAGTTACATTTTAATAATTCATCTTTAATTTGGAAGTTTAGTCTTGTAATTATTTAGTGAGATCACTACCATTTAGTGAGGTTTTAATTCAAATATATATTTGCTAAAAATATTTTTAGGCAAATATTTTTTCCAGTTTAACATAAGGTTCAGTTTTTCTGAATTGTCTTAATTATATTTATTTTCTTAATCTGATGTAGACATTGAAACTGATGAGTTCATGAATAATAAGAAATCACATGAAGTGCGGGTGATGTCGGAGCTGATAGACAACATAGCAAATTATTGTGGTATAAAGCAGGTAAGAAAGCATGTCTTACTGTGTGGTTACTGTGTACTTTCCAAATTATTCTTTTTATCATGTTCAAATGCTACATTTTTACCTTTATTCATGAGAGAATACTGGTTGGATTGTTTTATAATGGTACCAGGGATATTGCTGAAAGTAAGTGGTATGGACAGTCATGTAGAATATAAGTATAACAGAATACATGTCCGTGCTCCATTTGTTTTACTCATACGGATACAACTGCAGGGTCCTGAGTTGCTCCTGCTGATGCCACAGTAGACTGAAAGGAGGATCCCAAAACTTGGAGTCAGCTCTGAGTTGCTGAAGTTGGACTGTGACTTAGAAGTTACTTGGCTGAGACTGAGAGTTTAATTTAGAGAATATGAATTGCATGTTCTGACATTCACTGAGTTTTAAGTGTTCTTCTCAGGTTTAGATCAGGCCTGTGGCATCTTTGGAAATAAAAGATCAAAACTCTAAATCTCTGTTTTGTGAGAAACAACTGCAGAGGGCAAAGTTTTAGGCAGTCTTCTCCTTACAGCTGGGATTGCCAAGTAGACAGCTGCAAATAAAACCACGTGTTACCAGATGAGATGCAATCAGTTTGTGACCATCCGCGATCATTTACAGAGATGGAATATCTCCAGTAGCTCTTTCAAGAGCTTCCATGTGGATGCCCTAAACACCTCTAAGGTGGATGCTCTCTGTAAAGAATAAACTTAGAGTAGTAGCAGATTCCTGAAAGTATCTTCTCCTATTTGTTAGCCTGTTTTTGACTTGCTTGCCTTTTGCTTCAGGCAAGTGTCAGTGAAGTCTTTTATGTACTGAGAAAGCTATGGAAAAGTGTAGTTTGCTTATAATGCAATACTCAATATTCTCTGCGTTTACTGGAAGGTGAATTGGTGGTGTTTCATATAGCATTTTCATTTAGATTCTAAATAGTTCCTGTGAGATTCAGGAATGAAAGGAAAGGAGAGGAAAACCCATATTCAGAGAGTAAAAAAGAAGAGCCACTTTAATTACCTGACGTAAGTCCTGATGTAGCTCGTTACTAACACAATCTCAAAACAATCATTATTAAGTATCTGTCGATATGCTGCAATTTCAGCCAGTGATTATGCACTTTTATCAGTTGGTTTGGGGTATTTTTAGACAAAGGATTATTGTATGTTTGCTTTTCTGAAAAAAAAAAATTAATATTTAATGAAAAACATTATTGTAGTACATCACTGAATATGAAAGCCGACTGCTTTGTATTAACTTTTTTCCATTTTAGTCATGCACTGCAACAGAATTTATTTGTTCAAAGTTACAAATCCCTAATATATGAAAAGAGCTTTCCAGTTACGTTTTAAAAAAAAGAAAACCTTCCTTCTCAGTTATTAAAAAGCAACTTCTTTTGTTTTGGTTACCTTTCAACTTAAAAAAAAAATAGGAATTGTTAAGTTTTAAGAGCGTTTTTTCCTTATTGATTTTTTTTGTGTCCTTCTTGCAAAACAAAGTATATGTAGCATTTAATTAAAAAATCTTGAGCTATGAAAACACAACACATGTTTTACAACAGCACATGTCCTCAGGGTGTTTCTTTCAGATATTAGAGATCACTGAAGGATTGAAAAATGCCCTTAGTTTCACCTCCATACCCATAATGTATAATGGGTGGTAGAGGTTATTATGCTCTTGTGGTGTTTTATAATATAATATAATAAATGGTAAAATGAGAATAAAAGCAAAAATTTTATGAGTACTATAATCACTTTTAGGTTAACAATTTGAATCAAAGCATTAAAGCAAACTAACTTTAAAGATTTTAAAAATGTTTACTGTCCCCTTTGAACTGTTTTTCCTATCATACACGAGGCACTTTTATAAAAAAAAAAAACAAAACAAAAACAAAAACTCTTGATTAAATTCTGAAAAGAAGCCAGTGATGATAATTCTTTGCTTAAATACACATTTATTTTCTTTGACTTATTTGATAAAGTTTCCTTGGAAATTGCAACGTGTGCAACAAGAGTTGTAGCATGGGTGATAGAAGTATGATATAATTCTGCATTCAGCATCCGTTAAATTTGAGATTTGGTGATGGGAAATGTTGGAATCCTTTTGGAATAGGAATTCTTGATTGTGCTGTGCCAGAAAGTATGTTTAAACATAGTACCCAGCCCTGCAGACAGAACCTTTGGAGTTTATTATGTCATGGAAATTTCATTTTAAAAGTTCGTGCTTGGCAGATATGCTACAGATTGCTGATTACCTTTCCTTATGCAATCACGGAAAGGTAAAGCAGGGATTAATTTAAGCCTATCTATTTATTTAGTACAAGATCATTGCTTGCTTATTTTTAGTCAAATTTTCCTTTCATTTTAGTAATATTGTCCCAATGCTAATGTAACAATATGTTACTGTTGTCTTTTACTTGGGAACAAGTAAAAAAAATCTTACCAAAGCAGTAGTTTGTCTTTACAGCCACTAGAGGTCACACATATGAGTTAGCTGAGTCTATATCCACATAGTTCCTTTCACAGAAATAACTGAACACCTTGTAGAAGTGGACGTCCGCATATTCAGCATAGTAGTAGTATCTGTTATATAAAACAATGAGTAAAATTATTCCTTGAGCACTTTTCTTTTTTTTTCTTTGAAATATTCTAGAAGAATATTAGTGATAAATGTAACAAATAAGTTACACTTACAAATAGTATGCTTAGAGTCTGTCTTAATTCTATATCACTAAATCCATTGCTATACTGATTTCATTCAAGAAGTTTGAGGTTTGTAGAGTACCTAGATGATAAATGTGCAGCACTATCACATGAAGAATACAGCTGAAGAACCGCATGTCGTATGGTTAAACCATCTTTACCTAATAGTATGTATTCTCCACTGTTCTGTGCAGTCTTTCGTACTATTAATTTATAATTCACTTTCTAATTCCATGACTATACAAATCTAAAATTCTCAGAATAAAGCATAAATCTTTTTCTTTTCAGTGAGAGTAATGCTATATTGAGTGTATTTCAGTGTAAGCTTTCGTATGAATATGTTATAGACCAAGAACAAGACATTAAAAAATAACCTTGAATCAATCACTTTCAAGAATATACACTAACACAGAAGTCACTGTATCTAGTCAGTACAATTTCTGGTAGTTTCTGTTATCAGTTCCTTTCCTTAGAGAACTGGTACTCTATTGCCTATTCTCATAAAATATTTGGTCATATATTTATATATATATAGTTTCAGTTATGAGAAACTAAACTTCCTAAACATCCCTTCTATTCACTCCTTCTTCTAGAACAGGCTGTGGAAAACACATGGCATATGAGCCCCCTTGTCTTATTGCAAAAGTATCCGGTTGTAACCTAAATCCCAGTACAGATCATTTTCACAAAATGGGAAACGGGTATAAACAATCTGAATTACAAGGCAGTATTCATACCGTCTGTTTTCAAGCATGTGTCTGAGGCGGTTAAGTTAAACACTGAATCTGAAGATGTTTATTTCTGTATAGCTAGTGGTGGGAGACTCCTAACGTAAGCATGGCAGTGGACTCTGAACTTACGGCAGCTAGGTGTGTAAAGTTAAATACTAGGAATACTTTCTTTCCTAACTGTATTACTTGGCCCAATGAGGAAATGACAGGTGGTGTTAGTGGTAGCTTGTGGTTATTTTCTTTAGCAGAAGGAAGTTCTGTGTCAAAAAATATAAAGAAAGACTTTTCCAAAAGAGTAAGGATGTGTGTGTTGCATAAGCATTGCAGTGTCTGTTTTCTGGAACAAATCAGTTCTGACTTACTTTTGTGTTTTAAAGTCGGCACAAAGTCCAACAAAGCAAGTGAAAAAAGCGTTAAGTGGGGTAGCTGATAATTATAAATTCTATGGTCATTATGGGTAAATATTAAATCTATGCTTACTTGTTTAGGAAATTTTTTCGCATTTAATTGAGATGTATTCTATTTGTTGCTCATTAATATAGCACTTTTTTTTTCCCCATTATCTAGGTGATTGATATAGGTTCTGGAAAGGGCTACCTGAGTTCCTTTTTGTCTATGTGCTATAACTTAAAAGTTTATGGAATTGATTCGTCAAACACCAACACTGATGGCGCTCGTGAGAGGAACAGGAAATTGAAGAAACACTGGAGAGCGTATCAGAGTCGAGCAAGAGCAAATCTCAAAAGCCAGAGGTTGGAAGAGGTGAATGATAGGCCAGTGCAAAATGAAGTTAAATGTAAAGCAAGTATAAATGAAAACCCCGTAAATAATAACAGCAGTCTTCAAAGTCAAGACCAAGTGACTACCCAAGGTTTAGTTCCTTCTGATGTTTTTACAGAAATAGCTACATCTGAAACCAACAAACAAACTGAAATTAATTTGATGGCTCAGACGCAATCTGATGAGAGCAAACTTTCTGAAAATGTTCTTGCTATTCTGAATGTTCTGCCTCCTGATGCTGTTGAAGTTTTTGCTTCATCTCAGTGTGACTGTGGGGAGCTCTGTGAAGAGGAAAAGGCACAAAGAAAAATGGCATCTCTCAAGGCTAAAGCAAGCAAGTCAAGTGAATCAAACCTTTATTTTCCATTGACCTCCTACATCACTGCAGAAACGGAGCTCAGTGACATCATTACAGATCTGGAGGTTATTTTACTAATATTTGAAGTAGATTGTCCACTACCTGTATATTGTCATTTTTGTATATACAGAATGTTTGCTGAGTGCACATAGAATATCGTCAGAGCTGTGCATGAATGAGGAATTCTGGCCCAATGATGCTTTTCAGCTAGTTTGTGTGACTATGTCTTAATAGATACAGAGATTATTTTTCTACTTCAGTATATGTGATAGGATTATCTTGAATATGTAAGTAAAGCAGCCTTTAGAATCTATGAGGTAGATAGTAATCAGCTTTCAAAGTTAACAGCATATGTAACAGTATATTCAGCTACTTTACAGATGTGTTTATAGATAACACGTCTACTCATTATGAAAATAGTTATACTTACCAGTCAGAAGAATATATTCTTGTCTGAAATTTCTTATTTTGTAAGTTTTATATTTTTTAATTTTGTCTTGAACTTTGAAGGTTTAAAAAAATGTAGTGCCTATAATACTCAACATAAAGAATTTCTAAAGAGCCTTATTTGTAAATAAGTTTTTATATTTTGGCTTGTCAGAGTTTAAGTACATTTAATAATTTACTAACCCACAAGGTTTATGTGCACACAAACAGGCCCAAGCTCAGCTACCCAAAGGCAGAGACATGAGTCTAGAAACTGTGTAGCTGTGTTAGTCCCTATGCCTGAGCTAACATACACTGATTGGGTTGATAGTATGCAGTCTTCCATGGAAGGATGAAAACTTGTCTGTGTTCAGTAGTTACTGAATGAAATATATTCAAGGGGTGTAATTCATCTCTATTTCAAGACCATATGTTTGTGTTAATGGCCCTGTAAGTGAGTTAATAAATCCTACTAAGTATCTGAGAATGCATGGAGCAACCCCATGTCTGCTTAGAAAACACATAGCGTGAGTGGTAGGATCTGTTCATTTGAGCGCAGCGTGAATTTTGGTTATGTAGCTCGTGGACAGCAGTGGCGTGTGTGCGCTCAGAATGCAGGCAAGGAGCTCGGGGCTCCCTGGGCCCCCTGCATGGATGTGTGCTTCATGGTCCTAGAGTTACTCTGGTTCTTTACACTCGTATCAAACAAGTATGAAGTATATGCCTTTAAATTTGCACAGCTAGATTTTGTATCCTCTTGGTATGTAATTTCCATTGGTGTCAAAGGCAGAAGAGATCCTGTATCACTGCCTTTCTTTAAAAAAAAGTTACTCTAAGAAAAAAGAATAACGTTATTGTTGTAAGAAAGCAGTAATAACTGAACATTATACATGCTATGTATGGTGAATGTGTGTAATTGAAAATACTTTAAAATATGCAAATATGTAAACGTTTTAAAACTGTATGGATTTTGAATTTTTATTTTAACCATAAATTGACATACCAAGTTCTGCTAGGCTTAAGTCAGAGGACCAGAAAGTATGCTGAGTAGTACCCAGGCAACCCTGCTGAAATCAGTGCTGGGTCAAAAGTGTAACTGCCACAGACAGATTACCTTGGCATAGATAGGTTGCCTTGATATTGTTCAGAAATTTTGAGTGTGTAGTGTCTGTCATGTAGCTAGTATATGGTAGCCATCTTCCGCTGGCTTTCTCCTGAGAGACTCTCTAGCTTTTCCAGTCCCAGGGTTTAAATGCTCTCTTACAAGTGCACTTCTTCCATTAGCTTCCAAACTGTAATGTTGTTTCACTATTCCATGTTTTCATGAGGGAGAAAGTCTTGTACAATGATGACCCAAGGCTGATAAATAGAAAAGAAGTGTTTAAAAACTAAGCCAATGTGAAACCGAACTTCTCCACGTAAAATTTTAGTATCTTAAATTAAGGAAAGGGCGAGTGCAGAGAAGCAGTGCAAACAAAGTGGAAGGGAAGGGGAATTAGGGAAGTGGGAAGGAAGAAGGGGGGGATTAGGGAAGAAAGAGAAAATGAGGGAAGAAGGGAAAAGGTTTATTGTTTCACACATACATACACTATACAATATAGATGCGTGCGAAAAAATACTGTTAACGCAGAGCAGCAAAAATAGATGAGCACATAAAGTCAAAATGGTTATAGAAAGGTGTCGCATTTGAATGCAGCAGGGTTAAATTCTTGTTGATAACCTTGCTAATGAAGCAGGATGAAATTCAAAACAGCAAACACCACTTGTATAGTTTGGATTCCAATTAATAAGTCTAGAAGGGAAGGGAAAAGTATTGTTATGAATGGTGAGAAGAGGGATAATTGGGATGGGGAAATAGGGGAAGGGAAATTGAGGAATAAAGAAAGCGGGAAACAGAATGTACAGAAGAATAGAGTACTTCTGAAGCTGAAGTTCTTACTGTGTTTTTATGGAAGAGAATGCCTATGTGTAGTTGAATGTGTAGCAGACATACTGTAAAACTGCTGTGATAGTGCAGTTTTGGAAATAGCAAAGCAGATGGAGTTGGACCTGCTCTTCAAATTACTCTTATGATTAGGAAGTGTTCCTGATTTCAGGAATCAAAAGTAGCAGAAATGCCATAGGGTAGGTTCAGATGTGTTTGTTAACAGTAGTAAATTTGAGGTAAAACAAGAAGGAGGTAGCAGTAGTTGTAATATTAAAGAGGAAAGCTAGGAAAGTTAAGAGAAAAGGGTCAATGTCATGTCACCATGTGGACATTCTCTTCCATTCAGTTAAGCCAGATGCTGTTCATTGTCTTCAACTTTTGATTTCTCATAGCCAAGGAAGGTAGAGTATAGGGATGAATAATTGATCAGAGGTGAGCATTCTGATCTGCGTAGAGGAAATAATGCTGTTTTTCCTTAGCACTGAAGTGCTTTTATTATGTTTAAAAAAATTCTAGAATGGAATATCAGGAGTCCTCGTGGAGTTGTATATTTAAACCTTACAACTAAATAACCTTTTGCAACGTGTTTGGGTTTTGCAGTTGTTGTTTTTGCTCTTTTATTGAAAAGGAAGATGTTTATCGTTGTTGTTTTTTTTCTTTTTTTCTCTTAGGACTCTATAATGGTGGGTCTACATACATGTGGGGATCTTGCTCCAAATACATTACGAATTTTTATTGCCAAGCCTGAAATCAAAGCAGTTTGCAGTGTAGGCTGCTGCTACCATCTGTTGTCAGAACAGTATGAAAACCAAGAAGGTAATTCTTCTGAGCGTAATTTGTTTGCGTGTTGAGACTATTATACCTTTTAATTAATAGCCACCTTAAGTCTGTTCCTTTCCAGTGGCTTATTTAGTACTGTTTTTAATTACATTATGTGGGTCATTCACTGCCGGATGCCCTGTAGCTTTCCTGTTAGGCCAATATTCCTAATATTCTTGCTGAAATTAAGGACATTAATGCAGCATGTTTTTATGTGGTTATGAATACAGCTGTTTTTCTTCCATTACTTCACTCATAAAATGTGGAAGCTTTCTTGGTCAATGTTTTCATCCTTTTGAAATATTTTGTACCAGATTTTGCCCTTGGCTGTTTGCATACAACATTCATTTATGTTGAGTTGTACATGTATAACTATGAGCAAAATTAAGTCCTTTTAATGCAAGTTATTGCTGTAAAAAGGACTCATCTGAATGTTGTGCTCTGGGGCACTGCCAGTTCAGAGCGTTATGGAACAGTACATGTATAACAGATTTTCTTGGGGAGACAAGCTGAAAATTATTTGGGTATTCATACTACATGTAAATTTTCCTTCAAATGTGGCTTTTTTCATTTTTGGGTGAAGGTTGACATCCTCAGTTGAAAAGCTAATTCTTTACCTTTCTGTGCAGCCTTCAAACAAGAAAGTTAAAGACTGTCTTTGTACAAATGGAATGAATGCATACTGTAATATATGAAACTCATGGATTATTACATTTATTATGAAAAACTCATGCTGCTTCTGATGTCTAGTGTTTAATAGTCAACACTATTTGCAACATTGTTTCCAGCAGAAGTACTAAGCGGAATTATAAAGGAAAATCAGCTTAAAATCTTCAAAGCAGATAATGTGGTGTTGAGGTCTGTGAATTACTTTAAGACGCTTCTACATCTGTAAGCTAGATAACCTGAGGAAAGCTTGAATTAATTTAGTAATTTTTACAATGATTGAGAAAAATAATTTAATGCAAGATGTAAATGCTCTGCTCGCTGTATTATATATTTAAACAAGAACATAAGAAATAATGTTCTAGGTCAGGCCAGTGGTCCTTCTAGCCTAGTATTCTGTGTCCGAGAGCGGCAAAATGAGATGTGATTTAAGGGAAACACAGGAGCCTGGCCGCTTTGTTTAGTCCAGTCCTCTTGTACATTCCCAACATTCAGAATTATTGTATTAGGAGTGTAAGAGGGTGCATAACAGGTACATTCCTGCCTAGTCCTTTTAATATCCATTCAAGGACTTTTTGTGCCTGAAACTGTCTAATCTGTTCTTGAACCAGATGATACTGTCTGATTCCACAACCTCCTGTGGTGGAAAGTTCCCAAAACGTCACTTACTCATTGTCTCTATTCATGTGCTCATTATTAAGAATAAGAGTGGACTCTGTCTTACTCAGATCAATGAAACACAGAGCTTTCAGTTCCTATCTAAAACCTTTTGTGTAAATGGCCATTACATTGGCACAATGGCCATTTCTGCAGTTCTGCAGTTTCCTATTTGAGATCTTTCAGGACCCTTGGGTGAATGTCATCCCATCATGGTGACTTACTGAACTCTAAAATTGTCTGGTTTAATACTTCCCGCATATTAGCCTTATAGTAATCTACTATAAAATAAAATAATAATAAGAGAGAGATTTAGACAACGGCTTAAAACTCTTTCTGCTTCAACATCCAAATACTGTATTTTCTGTACAGATACTCCTCAGCATTTTCTACACCATTTTATGCTACTATTTCAAATAGTGTGCAGATTTACACATGCATTAACTGTTCATTTCTATTTGGCTCATTTGTTTTTAGTGCGTAGTGAAGAACATTAATTAGCTGGTTTTCCTGAGAAAACAAGTGTTAATGCAACTGAGCTATCTGAATGACCATCTGGCTAAGCGTTAGAACCCGATACCTTTGTCAACCCAATTGGAGAGAGGTGAATTAGTAAAGTTTATTTCAGCTCTTGAAGGAACTGCACAGAGAAAAAGGCAGGCAGAACTCAGCTGCTGTTCTTTAACAGTTGGCTGCTCAGGCAGCTAAGGCGCAGCTTTGGATTGACCATAACACATGCTGTCTCTTCCTTGTTGTAATGGTCTTTTCATGTTGCTTAGCACAAATCTGCAACAATTTTGAATATTTCTACAGTGTATTATTTTCACTTATTTCACAATGCTTCAAATAATCAAAAAAAAGAAAAAATACAGTGAAAATGTTATATTTCTAAATATTTGTATTATAGAAATGCAGTTTGTAAAAAGCATAACAGATCTTTTTATATCAAGGTTTTAAATAATGGTGAACTTTTCATGCACTTGTAATCAGCTTTGTGAGTCTCAAACATCTGATCATTTCTTGTTGTCACAAAGAACATAAAGCTTTCTGTTCTTGCTTTAGGATGATTACTTTTTTCTAGACCAGTGCATAAGGCTTTACCAAAGTGTTGTTACTCAGACACCGTCAAAAGATCAGATGCGATACCTATTGTAAGTTCAAAAAAACAAATATGCGTTCACAGTGGCAGGAGATAGCTGCAGTTTCATAGCTGTTTATTTATGGAAATTAAGTCAAATTGTTGGAATTTCTAGCTGTTTGATTTTTCTCAGCTTGAAGGATATCAATTACTCTTAATGAAAATCAGTCTATGCAGAGTGGAAGGAAATTACAACATTCCTCTTTTGAGAAAGAACACCTGGGTCATTTCAGTGATGCTCTGAAAAATGGATCATTTTTTGCTGTTACTGTGAGGCTACATAGTCTAAAATCGTCAATGATGTTGTTATAGTTCCCTGAAAAGATCATCTGTTATATGACTTGTTCACAGTGGAGGGGCAAGAGCACAAGGCAACAATACACAAGAGCTAAAATTTCTTGAAAGAGGGTGGGAAATAAACAGGACTATTGCTTGTGCCTACACTTCCTATGCATGAATTTCAGACTGGCTAAGCATTGTAGGGGATCATTGACTCCATAACTAATCAGATGGTACAGATCTAAAATTTCACTCTGTACAAGAAGCAAACTCATTCTTCTTGCAGCTGTCCTAGGCAAGTAAAGTCTGATACTGCTTCTAAAATGGACCCAATCAGAATCACCATGCGTTAATTTTTTAAGTTGGAAGGGGCCACTGGAAGTCATCTAGTTGAGCTCCCTGCTTAAAGCAGGGCCAACTTAGATCATGTTCTTCAGGGCCTTGTCCAGTTCAGTTGTGAGCATCTTCAAGGATGGAGATTCAACAGCCTCTTTGGGAAACCCATTCCAGTATTTGACTAGCCTCATTATGATAAATGTTTTCCTTGTATCTATTTCGAATTTGCAACTTGCATCCATTGCCTGTTGCCCTTTCATTGTGCACCTCCAAGAAGAGTCTGGCTTCATCTTCCCTCTGCCATTAGGTAGCTGAAGACAGCTGTTAGATCCCTTGTTGTCCTCTTCAGCTCTGTAATCTTTTTGGCCCCACTGGACTTGGGGTAAGTGGACTAACTCCGGTAAGTTAGTGTGTTGCGCTGGAGAGCTCAAAAATAGCACTCCCAATGCTTTTTCACAAGCGCTAAATAGAGGGGAGTAATCACTTGCCTTAACCTGCAAGCTGTATTGTTGAGCCTAACAGTCCTGCCAATTTTCTACCCCTGTTACAGTCCGCCTGTCTGAAGCATATCTCACCAATTTGGCTGTAAAGATAGTATGGCAGATCTTGCTGAAAGCCTTGCTGAAGCCTAGGTAAACTACATCTACTGTTCTTCCCTAGTCCATGGAGCCAGTCACTGGCATTACAGAAAGCAGTAAGATTGGTCAATCCCTGGTAAATCCCTACTAGTTTTTCTCAATCTCCTTGTTCTTCATATGCCTTGACATGGTTTCCAGGAGGATTTGCTCCATAATCTTCATGGTAAGTGAGCTTAAATGGAAGATTGGTATGATGTTTCCCTTATCTAGTCATCAGGGACGTCTTTGATGTATGTGACCTTTCAAAGATGCTAAAGTGTGGCCTTCATGTGGCCTTTCTGTCATTTTTGAGGTGCTTACTCTTAAGGAGAAGGTTAAATCAGGTCCACCTCAAGGGTCTGTCTGTCTTGCTAACACATTTTCCCATCTTTCCTTCTTTTTTTTTTTCCCAAATATAAATGCAGATGGCTGTTGTCATAAGTCTAATTGAAGCAGATGTGCGAGCCCACACAAAAGCTGCTGTAGACTGATGGTTGCTATAATTTGAGATGGCTGAGCTGTATGTTGTTTGGCAGTTGCATTCTGTTTAATACTAAAGTTTGTCTCGTTTGAGGCCAGTGAAAAATTACTTTTTCACGTCTTATTAATGCATTCACTCATATGCATGGGGTGAGGATTTGGTTTTGATGCCTATTGCAGCAGTTATAAGTCTGAAGTAGTGAGCTGACAAAACGTCAACAAAATGTTATGCTGTTTTTAGCAGGCTATTGAGTCACCGTAATTAGTGCAAGGGGTTTTTTTTGCATCTGCGAGGAACTGACTGTAAGGAATAATTACCTACATTTCTGTTACGTTCTAAAAATAGTAGAGATGTAAAATTGCATGATTCAGTTTGTCGTTGGTCACACTATGACACTACTTTGGGAGCATTTCTGATGAAAGTAGGTGCTGATAGTCACAGTCTTGAATCTCACAGTCAGAATGGGATGTCCTTCTAGGTGACTATAAATAAGCTAAACTTGTCTGGAAATTTTAGTAAAAGGACTCCATCTCCAATTGTGCTGGAAAGAATTTTGAACTCTCAGTCATGATCATAAAAGCCTTTCTTTTGATTTATTAGTAGCTGCACCAAGTGGTGCTGTGTAATCTTAATTTTCTATTGAATTCGAAATAGTTGAAACCCGTGAATTTTAACACCTTCCTTTAAATTTTACTGCTGTTATCATAAGTAGTACCAAATACTAAAGATCAGTTAATAAGGAGTATTATGACAGCTTTTGGAAAATCCAAAGGAGTTTAACTTTGGCTTTCTTTAAGGAGGCCATTTAAGAGATTCTTCTGTT